GCACCAGGAGGAGCCACACATTCAAATGTAATAAATTATTTTTTTGTTTTTGTTTGTTTTTTTCTTTATTTATTTTTTTACTTGTTTTTTTATATTCTTTATCTTCTTTGTTTTGTTTTTTTCTTTGTTTTTATGTATTTATATTTATATTTATTTATTTATTTATTTATTTATTTATTTATTTATTTATGTAGACGGCAGAAGGAGCCGCACCATATATAGGTTTTTATTTAACTCTTTAAATAAATAAAACAAATAAAATAAATAAAATAAATAAAATAAATAAAATAAATAAATAAAATAAATAAAATAAATAAATAAAATAAATAAATATTATATATTTCTTTTGTTTATTTATATTTTTCTCTTTATTTGTATCAATGTAAATCTGTATTTATTTACATCGTTTGTATTAACTAAATAAAAAAAATAAAATAAATAAATAAATAAATAAATAAACTAAATATATTTATTTATTTATTTATTTATTTATTTTGTTTCTGTATTTGTATTGTACTAAACAAAAAAAAATAAACATAAACAAACAAACAAATAAATAAATAAATAAATAAATAAATAAATAAATAAATAAATAAATAAATAAACTAAATATATTTATTTATTTTTATTTTTATTTTGTTTGTTGCTGCTGCAGCGAGCTCGTGTAGAAGCAATAGAATGGCTTATAAGGAAAAGGGGAGAGATACAAGCAGCAACAGAGAGGGCGAGGCTAGCAGCACAGCAGCAGCGTGAGGCAGCAGCAACGACTGACGCCTCCCAAGCAGAATAAACACACAGTAGAAGCACCTGCTGCTGCTGTTGCAGCAGCAGCAGCAGCAACAGCAGCAGGTGCTGCAGCAGCAGCAGCAGCAGCAACAGCAGCAGGTGCTGCAGCAGCAGCAGCGGTGGTGGCAGCCTTCGTCATAGATTAGTTTGCAGCAAACTGCTGCTGCTGCTGCTGCTGCTGCTGCTGCTGCTGCTGCTGCTGCTGCTGCTGCTATCTCTTGGGGGCTAGGGCATGCATACAGCACAGAGAGCTGCAGTGTAGACACTTAACGTAGGGCGTTTTTGCTTCTTTGCTGCTGCTGCTGCTGCTGCTGCAGCAGCAGCAGCAGCAGCAGCAGCAACAAGAACAACAGCTGCGGCAGTAGTTGCATCAGCAGCAGAAGCAACAGCTGCAGCAACAGCCGCAGCAGCAACAGCAGCAGCTGCTGCAACAGCTGCAGCAGCAGAAGCAGCAGCTGCTGCAACAGTAGTAGCGGCTGCCGAAGCAGCAGCAGCAGCAGCAGCTGCTGCTGCTGGTGCTGCTGCTGCTGCTGCAGCAGGCAGCAGGCAGCAGTTTGTTAGTGGGTTTGTTTGCGTCGTGTTTGTGTTTATTTATTTCTGTTTATTTATTTATTTATTTATTTATTTAT